GTGGAACTTTTGGAAACCCTAATGGCTCTGCAGTGGGCTGATTTTTAGAGGTGGGTGTCATAGTCCACATGGAGTGGAGGGTTGATCTGAGGGTGGATTTAGATTCCATAGAGTACAGCTTAAACCACCACCAGTTGGAATCCAAACAGTGATCTCTCCTGAGAAATATGTTTGCAAATAATAAAGTACTGTTACGATCTGATTTGATCAGAGATCTTGGTTATAAGCACTGACAGACACTCACTGCACAGATGCCAGAATATAATATGATTTGGTTGACTGTTCACACCTAACCATATTGCAGTTAATTTTTGATCTGTGCGTTCATGAACACAATAAAGCACATTGCACCTATTTTTAGGGATATAGGAGGTAATGGTGAAGGAGAAGGATATGCAAGCTTGCACAATTAAAAAGTATAGCATGCATTAATTGCACAAATAATATATTTGTAAAAAAAAAGCTAGGCTTTCTTTGGGTTTTTCAGAAAATGTCTTGCTCCATGTCAAAATGGCTTTACAGGAAAACTTGAGAAGAAGGAGGTTAAAGAAGTGCCTAAAGAAAGAGAAATCTGCTTCTGTTTGCATTTCCTTTTGTTCCAGCTACCTATGTTATGGTTCTCTCTCTCTTTTTTTAAAGGAGACCATTAGTTTAGAGGGCTGTCACTTCTTTGAGTGTATTATCACTTCATTGATCATTAGAAGCCTAGAGAATTTCAGAGGGCAAACACAAGGTCATGTTTTAACTTGGGTTTGCTTATGAATGAATGGATGTGACCTAACAAGCCATTTTGAGTGGAATGGGTTTAGTGCGCTTCCAGACAAAGGATTTCATCATGCTATCATCATCACCTGCCTCATTTGCAGAATTTTACAGGGGTCCAGGCAGTGTCATTTTCCATTGATAGCCCAGAGCCTATGGGAATAGGATGGTATATAAAAATTAAGACAAATCAATGCAAATAAATAGTCACTGTGTCTTCTCATTCTGTTGTTAAGAGCCCTTCAGCTAAAAGCAGCCTGAAAATAGAAAGCCAGTATGGGATGTGATGGGTCAAGTGGAACTGGGATTGAGGTGATCCGGGTTCTAGTCCTCACTTGTCCATAAAGGTATTGTTGATATTGTAACTTGTGATTAGTACTGCCAGCATTTGTCAAGATTGTACATGTATATGGTGACTGAGGGCTGGGGGAGCTGGGCTTGTAGCCATTCATTGAGCCATATTCTGATTGTTCTTTGTTCTTGGCTTAGAAATTGTCACTTTCTCTCCATTAAGATATTCTGGTAGAGAAGCCTAGAAAGAAATCAGCATGTATTTTCATGCTTACATTTTTCACTTTTGAGTAAAAAATTAAGTTAGGAAGGTGATATACTTGGGAGAGAAAAATGAAAAATCTTCAGAAGAGCTTTTTCTTACATTTATTTGTGCCCCCCCCCACCAATCCAACTTCTCTTACCATATTACTGATGCTAGGGTGCTGCAGTTTTGAGACATTCTCTATGAGTTCCACTGATATGTTTTTAACATGGAGTGAGAAGCATAAAAAACCCCCTTCACAGCAATATGCAAAATGTCTATCCACACTGATGGACTGTTGCAAATATGGTTATCTCAGCAGCTAGAGAATAAAGCAGAGTGACTCAGTCAATATTGCGACTGCTGTGTGTCAAGAGGATCACAGAAATAAGGCATTATTTGTTACATAAATTAGACATATGCATGATTTAATCACTCCTGTTGTCAGAACATTTTTGAACAGGCGAATACTTTGTGATCCTAGATGTTTTGCTCTCTTGACTATATGTAATATTTTATTTCAAAGATTTTCCACACAGTGGATTGGATCCAAATTCAGCCATACTTGGACAGACCCATATGATTAACTTAAGCCCCATTAATTTCAATGGGTCTGCTAATGGAATGTATACAATTAAATCTGAATCCAACAGTAATTATGCTTGCAACCCAGCACACAATTATAAACACATGGCTCAAACTGAAAACAATTATTATTGCATCAGTAATGCTTAGTATACAGTTAAATCATAATATAATTACATAATTATAATAATTCCAGACCTAAAGTTCATTTTGATGATGATAAGTTGGGCACTTAATCCACATGTAGCATCTGTACAGTTGCTGGCTAGAGTAGGAATCAATAGTTATGCAATAGAAGAAAACCTTTGGGAACTGTTTAATTTCAACATCAGTCTTGTAGAATTTACACGCATAGAATGGGTGAAGCTTTTATGAAACTTTAACTTTGAACTGCTCTGGAATGGCAATGCTTCTTTCTGTTCTTGAATTCTTGGTTGCCTGTGTGATTGTGTGGACTTTGATAGAAGATGATGCCCCTGTTGTCGGAATAGGTGAATCAGCTGCCTTGATTTCTCTGCAGGAAGAAGAAAGAGAGGATATAAATGTAACACCTGGGACAAAATACTAAAGAATTGATGTTAGATTTATAAAAAGCAGTAAGATTAATAATAGCAAGGAATTAGAAAATAAAAGGTGAATATCAAATAGTTGACTGGTATAAAGAAGTCTGGAATATAGCTATTAATAATAACTTGCAATAGTATTTGGAAAAAAAGGTTTGAATTTTGAGAGACCATTTACTGAATATATTTTAATAAATGGAAAGGGTGCGAACCATCACAAGAGTCAGTGCAGTTTTGGAAGGGAAGTGGTGCAACCTGAATGAATAACTGATCTTACATTAAGTGACTTGATTTATTGCTCCTGGTGGAGATAGCACTGGTATTGTATTGACTAATTATATTTATTAGTAATGTTTAATTATGTTTATTGCTATTATATTAATTGTATTGTTTTTGTTTTATTTTAAAAATAGAAAAAGAGTTCTATGCAAGAAGAAGAAAGGCAGGATATACATGTAAAAGAAGAATAAATTCAATATGAATGTATTAATTTATTTCCCACCTCATAAAAATGCTTGCAAATATTAATTTCTGTGCATCTTATCTATGTTAGCCCAAGCTGAGTTTTATGTTGTCTTATGTTTAGCAAATACTGAATGAGGAAAAATATTGTACTCCTGTTTTCTTTGCAGTTTAAAAAAATACTAGTTGATGTATTACACTTGATGATAAATTAAAAATCTGAAAGCATTCTGAAATACCGTTGTACTATTGCATAGCATTCCTTCAAACCATTAAAATTATTTGATTAAACACTGAGCTGCCTGACACAATGAAACACTGGCTGCAATGAAACGAAAAAATAGACTATCCGTGTCATAGCTGATGCCAATGATTTCAAGACAAACTGCCTTGAAATGTTCCATCTCTGCAAGCCACAGCAGCTGAATTCAATTTGTGATGGTGATATGAGGAGCTTAAATATGAAAAAAAGTACACACATTTTTACTTGTTGCCTTCTGTGCACATATGCTAAAATACAGAGATGCATGGTTGGATCTGGTATGGATTTAGTCATACTCTGAGCATATCTGTAGAAATCAGTGTAATTTCAGGTAAGCATCAGCTTGTCACATTGGTAAATTACCACCAGTGTGCTCTTGCTGATACAAGGCCTGTTTCCAGGGTCAGAAAACCCACTCCCACTGTCAGGGTTGCTTGTGCTTGTTCCTCCCCATAGGATAAAGTGATATGCAAGGATACACATACCTCCATAGGGGATGGTGAGAAAGAGTCTCACAAAATATAGCATCTTCTTCAGTTAGTGCCACATAAGCTAAAGTAAATGTTGGCAATCAGGTTACTAGTTCTCACCAGGGTGGTAAAGCTATATTTGGCAGTGCCACTTCATACTGCAGGTAGAAGCTCATGTAATCGGATGATCTTACTTACAATAGCAAATTGCTACATTGAAAACTAAGTTGGAGCTACGGCTGGTCTACTTTTGCACCATTTTCCAGGGTTTGGATGGAGGACATTTAAGGCAAACCTCCAATGAGCTGAAGGACCTCGGAACAGTATGAAGCCATTTGTGCCGTTGTTGACCAAATGGTCCGTGTCCTGGTGTGCGTATGTCCACAATATACAACAGGGGCAGACTTACTTTGAAATGATTTATTCTCGAGAATAACTGACTGCCAATGAATCATTCCAGTTGGTATACCTGAGCAGTCTTCAGTTGGCCCTTTTATACTTCGATCATTAAAGGGTTACGTGTAACACAGTTAACACTTGCTGTTTGGTTACAGTAAAAAGTTACAATGGCATGATCTTTCCCACTTGCATACCAAAGAAGATGCTCTCAAGGAGCCTGGCGGATAAGGTGCTGTTACATAGAAGAGGAGGAGGAAGGGGTGGGCTGGGATGAATTGCCCTTGGTTTGGGCTGCTGTTATCTGTCAAGTGCCAACTAGCTTTTTTTGGACTGGCCTGGTTAGTACCAGCTACATTTCAAGGATGCGCACACATGCTGACTTCTAGAAAACAGGGTTTTTCTCTGGCCTAGCTATGTGCCAGTGATTGCATGATTTTACCTATGAAAGTTGTACCTATTAACTTGTACATCTCCATGAGTCAGGGAGCTTATTCTGGCAACAGTAGGACTGCAACCTGTCTGTCTTGCTTAATAAAAGAAAGTACCTGGAGATGATGGATGGCAGCTTTGACTAGAGCTGTATTCTTGCTATTTTGCTGCCCAAGTATAAAGAGGAGAGAGAAAGGGGAGACATCCCACCATCTGTCCTCCCCTTCAAAGCCAGTTTGGTGGTTGAATTGGTGGTTGGCCAAAACGGGGCCACCAACACTGCTGCTTCTCCCACAAATGGCATGATGAAAGTGGGGCAGTCAGTTTGATTCTAGCCTGTCTCCATCCCCATCCCTGGCTTCTAATTTTCTATGGGGAGTGGGAATGGAAGTGTATTCATAGATGTCACCCCCCCAAGTCAAAGCCTGACATGGTTCAATGCAGACATAGTATGCCATCCCTTGAGAGATGGTTCAAAAGGGCATGTTTAATTTCAACAACTTCTAATGAGCTGATATTTCTCTTTGCACTAGGTAATGGAAATGTATCTTCCATTTTGTGGGATTGCTATATCTAATGCTCAGCTGTTTGCTGCTTCCAGGAAGGAATACGAGAGAAGCAGAGTAAGTAAAAGTAGCAACTGGGATATGAACTGCTTACTTTTACTCGATATATCAACTCTGCATAATTGCATTGTAAAAGGTTAAGAAATAGTTTAAGGATTCATCACTTTATTTCCAAATAGAGCCATAACACCTTAATCCTGCAAAAGGACATTTAATTTGTTTCACTTTGTTCATCAGTGTTTATGTGTCGTGGAAAGATCTGGGACTCAGGCCCACAGGATCATTAAGCCCCCAAAATATAGATTCTGAAGTGTCTCTGTCTGTATGTCTTTAAAGGACACCATCTCCTAAGCCACAGTTGTTTGTAAAAATACTATGTATGGATTGGGGAGAGGAGGGTACATGATTTTTTTTTTGGTGGGTGAGTGGGAAACACAGGCAAAAAGATTCAAGTGCAATTGAGCAACAGAAGATAAAAGTCATGTAGGCAAAAATCTAGTTGATCCACGAGGATCAGAGGCAACAGGGATTATCAGAGCCCTTGCCCTGCTATTTCAGATGACCTCCCCAACATTCAGGTTTCCAAAGAAAGATTTGGGGCTTCAGCCCTGGTAGGCTGCCCGTAATTCTGCCTTTGGTATCAAATCCATTACTTTGTTCTGCTAACTAGAGTGAAAAATATTTTGTACCACTTATATCTAACACTGCATTTTTGTATGTGTCTGAGTTGTATGAGGCTTATTCCAAGGTATAGGCACACTAACCTGGGAATAAGCTCTACTCAGTACAGTAAAACTTACTTGTGAGTAAATGTGCACAGTATTGCAGTATAACTATCTTCTCATTCTTCATATTTTGGCTTCACATTAGAAGGATATTTGTGTCCTTTCTTTCTAGTTTCTTTCTAGGGCATTCATCTTCCTAGTTTTACCAGTTCATATTATCACTTACTATTTTCTACGATAAATCTTTTCCAGCAATGTTATTATGCCAGTGTATTTTGAGCCACTAAAAGCTTTATTAAGGTTGTATTCAGACAAGCTAGGAAAGGGCATACACAAGTTGTTTAAGAATACAGACATTGATATTTAGTGCTATTAATTTCATGCTGAAGATATCATATATCCTGATGGACATAACCTTGATCATTTTATGTGATTTATGACATAAAATGTGTCTTAAATTGTGGTAACAATTGTTCTTTATTTTTAAGCATATATTGTCTAGTTTAGAACAGAGACAACCACAGCTGTTCATTATTCAATTCTGGTATTGAAATTGATGCAGTATATAAAAAATTAAAATTTTGATGACACTGTCTGTAACCTTTTTCCTTCTATGTCTCCCAGTTATTTAAAATTTGCTAGATATGACTTCATTCTGTTTAAAAATACAACAATATTATTGATTTATTTGTTTGTTTGTTTGTTTATTATATTTCTGTCCCACTTTTTTTTCCTTTCAAGGAACTCAAGGCAGCCTACATAATTCTCCTCTTCCCCTCAATTTTATCCTCATAATAGTCGTGTGAGGTAGCTTGGGCTGAGATCTGTGACTGGCCCAAAGTACCCTGTGAGCTCCACAGCTGAGTGGAGACTAGAACTCAGATTGCCTGAGTCAGAGTCCCACACTCCTAACCAGAGCAAGAAATAGTCAATCACAAACACCACAAAAATATTTTTTTAAATAAAACATCTGTCCACTCAGTTCCACCTTAACATGACAATAGCTGATGGAACATCATCACTGCCTGACTTGTATCTTTTATAACTCCTGTTTGCAAAAGTTGTACATTTACTGCAAAACAAATTGTGATAGTTGCCCATCCCATGCATACAGGCCTTGCTGGAGGTAGTGAATGATCTCTTTGAAGAGCAGACAGACTTAGAGAAAATTGTGAAGAAAATTATGCATCGAGCCCAAACTCTTCTGAAGTGTGAACGCTGCTCAGTATTGCTTCTTGAAGACATTGAATCTCCGGTAAGTTGTATTTCAGATTTTGAAAAATGTATCATTTATTAGTAGCATGATACCTGCTTTAACTAAGAAACTTGCACATTATTACTCCTGAGAGAAAAGATGGGGGATAGTGAGGCACCACTTCACAGAAGTATATGGACCAGACCACCTTCAAGCAGTGGCATCCACTGTCAGGAAAGGTCAGGCAGGATGGAGAGTATACAGTGCTGAATGCTGCCTCTGGAAGGAGCACAAGGCACCCGCAGTCCACAGCAGCCCATATTTTCTGCTCCAGAGCAGGAAAGACCCACCCCAGTCTACATGGTCCTCTAGAAGACACCAAGGCAGACATCAGCACAATGTTGTTTTTGGCACCTCCAGAGAACATCTTCATTTCAGGAAGCCTTCCTTGACTGACTAGTCTCCCTCCCCCTCTCCCCCATTCTCCCTTTCCTGATTTCAATATATCACATTAATCCTTTATCTAATTTGCCTTTTTATTGTTCACTGCTATAGAAGCTGTTAGAAATATTGTTGTAAATATTATAAGCAAATAAATAAGATTGCCTACTTTTCTAGGGTTCCCACCTCTGAAGCAATCCAATTTCACTGTATCTTTAAGAATAAATGATTAAGCATTTCTTTCAATGTAAAACATTGTTGCCTTCTAACATCAGAGTGACTCTTTTAGCCTCCAGGCAAGAGAGAAGAAATGTGTCAGACACTGCATTACTGCTTCCAGCACAGTTGTTCATAAATTGCTAGATTTTTATTTTTTAAAAGTAACTAACTGCTGATAATTGTTGCTTTAAACTTGTATTTTATCAAACTGTTTGGTTATTCATTTATGTACTTTTGTTAGCTACTGGAGAGGAGTTCCAGTTTGGCTGAAAATATACTAAAAATAAAATATAAGAGATATAATTTTATTCTTGGATGTTTTCCTGCACATGTGGGCTATCCTATTAACTTCAGTGTGAGTGACAAGTCTGTACGCACAAACAAGTATGTGAGACTGAGTTTCCTCAGAAATAGCCTCAGCAGAGTCAGCAGTTTTTAAATGTACATACTATTAAATGGAAGACTTTGAAGTGCTTTGAATTTTCTCTAATTGAAGTATTTGAACACAGAAATAGGCATGCTCAAAGTCATACCCACTTTTTCTGATGCACACAGGCAACCCTGAATGCCTCCTTTCCCCATGTGGTTCCTTTCCATATTTGCCTGTAGCAAATACATAGCAGCATGTTTTGAAATGCTAGTAGCTTACACTCCAGTAATCTATTTCATGCTCAGTATTACTCATATATCCGATACATAGTTTCTGCTAATGGTTATAATCCATATTGTTGACAGTCCAAATCAAGAGAAAGAAATCTCTGATCTAAACAGTGTTCAAGACTACAGTAGATTTCCTAGCTCAGCCTTCCCCTCTGCTGCCCTCCCATAGGTTTGGACTTGAACTCCTGTCAGCCACAGCAAGTGTGGACAGTGGTTGGGAATGCTGGGCATTGGAATTCAGAACATTTGGAGAGCACTAGCCTGAGAGAGGCTGGCCCCAAGAATCAACATTTTGTTTGAACTGAATATTTTGGCCAGCTGACCATAATGTGCTGTTCTTCTGACTGTTCATCAGCAGAATAGAAACTGTCAATTTACTAACATTTGTAAAGAATGAACGGGTAGATATGACTTTATTTTCATTGGAACGTTGCTTTATAGGCCTTTGGGACAAAGGTGCACCTAGAAGAGATCAGGCTTGGAAGTTAGAATTTTATTTAAAGATTTGCTCATGCTACAGCTTCCAGGGAGAAAGAAGGTGTTAGTCGGTTGCAGATGAACTGTCTTGTGGCACCTTCGGACTAAGAGATTTATGATGGCAGCTGATGGTATGGGTACATCTTGCCAGCATGGTTGATGGTCAGGGACGGTGACAACTGTAGTCCAAAACAGTGACCTTTGGGGGCTCCGGACCTCAGCTCTAAGGGCCTGCCCTGATTGCACTACTCATTTACCTTGGTGGTTGTTTTCTGTACATTATATATCCCATTCCCCCCATGCAAGTGCACTTCACTTGACTTTTCTGTACCTACATTTACAACCACATTCAAAAAAGGTCCAGTGCAAGGATGGGTTCAGACAACCTCTTCTTTGCATGTGCAAAGGTGGCTGTTGTTGGACTCAGTGCAGGAGCTTGTTAATGTAGGAGCTTTGTGTGTTTATAAGAGCACGTGGAGACCTTTGAGTCATAGTTTGTATTCTTAGCATGAATTCCTCCACTTGAGGTCAATTCCAACTGCAGCCACAGTATTAAAATGACTGGCATAGGCCATATGTCCCCCTTGCCCTGTAACTGAGGCCCTAAATGCATTCTTTGGTCATGTTGGTGGAAGCAGCGGTGACAGGGACAGTGCTCAAAACACAAAGTGCCTTGCAGCCCTCTGGATATTGTTGGACTGCAGTTCCCATAATCCCTGATCACTGGCCATGCTTGCTGGAGCTGAGGGGAGTCAAAGCCCAGCAGCATCTAGAGGGCCAGGTGTTCCTCACCCTGTCTGGTGGATTTTGAGTGATCATCGCTCTTTATAGCAGTGACTACAGCTATTGCTCATCACCCGCTCCGTACAGTTTGCTTGTAGGGACTGCCCTCTTTCCTCTGCCTCTGATCAGTGCTGTGATTCAGCAGGTCAGTTTCTTAGCTGCTAGCTGTGAGACTTAGCAAATGCTAGAATTCCTGAAGGGCTAGAGATGGCTGGCAGAATTGATATACCAGGCAGGAAGTTTCCCTTTATACTCAGAAGTGCTACAATAATGAGATGAGCGAGAAATAGTGAATATTACTTCCTGTAGATGTGTATTTTAAACTTAATGCTTTTCTTTTCATAATACACAATACAGAAAAACTGACACTGACTTTTAAGAACGGAAATTACTGATAAGTGGTCAGGGCCCAGATACTGAATAACACCCATGATAGCCTCACTGTAATTTGGAACCACTTATGCTGGCTGAGACTCTATCACTCAGCTTGTGTAAGAAGAAATGCTGCTTGTCTTCTGCCCTGACTCGTGCCAAGAAATGCTTGCAGAAGTGGGCACGTTTGTCTAATTGTCTAATTTATAATTATCTTCTTGAGACCTTGAGTAAGATAGCAATGGTAAATTTATAATCTGAAATTTCTTATTGAAGTGTATGATTTCATGGGGTTTCAGTTTCTTACTTCATTTAGTTTCTTCAGTGTTAGAACTGGTAAAATGCTTCAGATCTGATTCTTTTCAAGCTCTTCCTTGTCTCTTCTGAGCCAAGGCAAGGAATTCTATGTGTTTATATTAATGCTACAATATAAATGCTTAAGTGCAATCTTATATATGTCCTTTTAACCTGGCTTCTCACCTTACATTACCAAGGCTTCTCCTTCCAGAGCCTTTGCAGGATTAAGATTGGCTCCTTTGTGCGCATTTTTCACTGCCTGTTTATATGTTCCACTACACAACCACAAGGTGGTGCTGTGGCATAGTGGCATTGAGAAAATACACAACCATCTTGTAGCACTTTATAGCATACTAGTTCTTTCATAGTTTATCATCTTTGTTTGAAAAAATGCCGCACAAATGGGAGAGGCCCTGGAGGGTGATAGTGTATAAAGCACTGGCAAGCTACTGTGGGTGAGGAATCACAAATGCATGATATATGTTCTGTGTGGAGAAGCCCTACTTCTTCACATGCATAGTACTGCACCCTTAATGTATAAAGCTGCCTTAGACTTTTGACCCATCTGGATAGGTAATTGTTTCATTCATCCTCAGCTTTCCATCCCGAACAGGCACCTTCAGCCTAAACATGCATTTGGGGACCCAATTCTTAATTTTAACCATATATTTGTATACTAGTGATGGTGTTGTTGAGACCTGTCTTTGGTCTGGCTGAGAACCAGTACTGGATCCTGACCTACTAGTGGAAGAGGAACAGCTCTGACAAAGAGTAGCTTTTCAGGATCACAAGTGAACTGTTTTCTCAATCTTGCTAATCTCCTTGAAGTGGAGATTAATCTCCATATGCAGGCATAAAGATGTGGGCATTTTCCTCCTATTCTAGGGTAGTAAGAAAATGCCTGGTTGATTGTTCTGGAACTAAAATCATAGGGCTAATTCCAAAATTATGCAAATAGTCCTGTTCACACAATGGGAACTTCCCTTCCCCTTCTCTGCACTGATGTTCCCCATATGCTCCCCATGTTTGTTCTGGGGAGTCTGCTAACTCTCCGGATCAGCTTGGGGATGTGGTGTGTGTGTATGCAGGGGCGGGGAGTGGGCAACAGTAAGAGGAAAAAAATGGCACACTGTACTTGTAATGTACCAGCAATGGAAGGATACCATTGGATACCTATCTGTAGGATCTTAGCATGTCGAAGCACATGGTCTGAAGGCGCATGATAGACCAAACTGCCTGAAGCTAGGTAGGTTTGGTTCTGGTTAGTGCTATGATAATCATCTCCTTGGGAGCTCTATGCATACTGGGTCGAGTTCCTTAATGAAAGAAAGGTGGGCTATATAAGTAACAAGATAAAGAAAAAACGATACTTCAGTTTTGAAAAATACAAGTTTATCAACATGTTTCATCCTTCTCATTATATGAGAACCATTAAAATCATAAAGGAAAGCTAAGGAATCAGAGGATTACATCCTGGACTTGTGGTTTTTTCTCTTTTAGCATCATATTGTTATAAAGGAGGTTGGAAGTAATTCAGGATGATTGAATCAAGGGTGTGGGTAGAGAGTGCATTTTATGCTATGAGCACAAAAAACTGCTTTGTGGGTATTGTTTATCACTTAAATATGAATTTTCCTACTTCTGTATAAATCTGAAACCTGGTGCATTTTTTTTTTATCATGGCAGGTGGTGAAATTTACCAAATCGTTTGAGTTGATGTCTCCAAAATGCAGTGCAGATACAGAGAATAGGTTAGATTTCATGTTTTATTGATCTTATTTAATGAATAATCCTTTATTGTTTGCTTAAGCCTTGAACATGCAAGCTGCTTCAAGATGAGCCTTTTAAAATAAATTAAAAAGGTCCCAAATTCAATTAGCTTATTGCTTACTTCTTATTTGTTGAATACAGTTTGCATATTTTCACTCACTCCAATGCTACTGTTGGAGGTACATTCTGTGGAAGAACCAGTACAGCACAGAGTGTCCGACTGGGACTTGGGAGGCTCAGGTTCTAGTCCCCACTCACACATGAAGCTCACTGGGTGACTTTGGACTAGCCACATTCTCCCAGCCCAAGCTATCGCACAGGGCTGTTACGGAGATAAAAAGGAGAGGAACGGTGTGTAAACTGTCTTAGGTTCTTTGAAGAAAAAAAGGCAGGATAGAAATATAATTAAACAAAGAAACAAATATGCTGAATTTTTACTAGCACTCAACTGTAATATGTTGGACTGAAGAAAGGGCGACTCTTCCCCAAAATGGCAGATTTATAGGGTTTGTGACTATTCTGTGGGATGTAGTTGTACATGTGTGGTATTACTCTGTTGGATATTGCCTATAATTAGTGATTTTTTAAAAAATGACACTTTAACATGATATGTTATGCATACAGATAGAGCATATGGGGAGATAAAATGCAACTTTGTTTGTTTGGAGGTTTTGTATGCTGTCCCATTCGCATAAGCCTCAGGACGGCTTCCATCATCAACCTTGTCTGAAGCCTTTGCCTAGAGGCAACTGTTCTGCTTCTCCCTATTCTAACCAAACAGCAGCTTCATGTCCACAATACAGGTTACACATCAGGACAATCAAGTGCTGAGGGCCCCCATCCATTTTGTTCAGGACCATCCATAGTCTCTCATGATCCACACAGTCAAAAGCTTTGCTTAAGCTATGAACTGTCTTAGACTGACCTTTTTCTGAAGTTCTTTGGTGCTGCACTAGAGTAGCCAATGAATATTTGCAATGTGATCTCTAGTGCCTATTCTTTTTTGGAATCCAGTATGAATGTTAGGCACTTCTTGCTCTATATAGGGTAGAATTCTTTGTTGCAACACTTTGAGCCTCACCTTACTTACATGGGAAGTTAGTGTGAGGGTCCTATAAGTTCTGCACTCCATAGCATCTCCTTTCTTGGGGGTTCAAAGTCTGTGGGTCATTGTTTTGTTTTCCATATTTGTTGGCAGATTCTTGTTAGAATTTGGACCCATGCAGTCTCTGCAGCTTGGAATAGTTCTGTTGGTACCCTGTCTACTCAAGGTGATTTAATCCTTCCAAGTGCTTTTAAAGCAGCTTTCACTTCACTTTCTAATATTACAGGTTCTTCCCCATAGACTTCCTCTTTGATGGAGACTGGCACCCTTTCATCTCTTCTGTATAGTTCTTCCGTGCATTGTTTCCACTTTCTCTTTGTTTTCTCCTGGTCAGGTGCTATGTTCCCAATTGGTCTTTCAGCATTCCTAATCTAGGTTTGAATTTTCCTTTGTTATCTTGGAGCTTCTGGAAGAGGTCTCTTGTTGTGGTGTTCTCTTCTATTTCTTTGCAGTGGCCATTGTAATAATTCTTTTAACTATCTTGATAGACACTGAAAAATTGCATTCAGGATATTGACCCTATTTCTGTCACTGCTTTTGCTTCTCACCTCTCCCTAGCAATTTTAAGCGATTTTTTTCTGTCCTTTATCTAGACTTTCTTTCTTTTTGCTGCAGGAATTGTCTTTTGGCTTACTTTCCTAATAACATCTTTGGATTCAGTCCACATTTCTTCTGCTTCACAATCAGTTGAATTCAGTAATGCAAATCTGTTCTCTGTCAGATCTTTAAATCCCTCAGGAAATTTATTGAAGTTGTATTTTGTAAGCAGGCTTCTGTTAGTGATCCTTTTCAGCTTGACTCTGATTTTTGCTATGAGCAGTTCTTGGACATCTGCTTCTAGTCTTGTTTTGGCAGTGAGAATACAGCTTCTCCATCATGTGCTTCCAATTCTGTGATCTGTTTGATTTCTGTATTTGCCGTCTGGCCGTATCCATGTGTACAGTCATCTGATCGATTGCCTGAAATGTATATTTGTAATAAACAGATGGTTGGTTTCACAGAATTCTGAGACATTCTTCTGCTTCGCTTCTGACCCCTAGGCCCAATAAGATTGAATTCTACTTTATTTCCTACTTTGCATTCCACTCCCTTTGATTACGAACATGACTTGTTTCAGTGTGCTTTCAATTTCCTCCTGGATGTTTGCATAAGAACTGTCAATTTCTTTATTAGCATCTCGTGTTGGAACATAGATTTGAATTCTGGTTATTGATAGATTTTCCATAAATTCTGATCGATATGACTTGGATAGACATTGTAGTATAATCCCTTACCGCTTGTGCCCAACTTGCTTCAGTATCAGTATTCTGAGTTTGTCCTTTCCAGATTAAATCTATTCATGTATGTCTGATTGAAAATGCCCCATTCCATTTTTGTTCGTTCCCATCAAGTATTGTGATGCTTAACTGTTCCATTTCTGGCTTTATGGTTTCCAGTTTGCCTTGATTCCTATTTTGTGTACTCCGTGTTCCAATTATATGTGTTGCACAGCATCAGACTTTCCTTTTGCCTCTGTGCATGTCAAGCCACTAAACTTCCTTTCAGCTTTGATCTAGTTGCATCATTACCATTAGCACTGTTTGTACTTATCCTATGTTCTTCCCCAGTAAGTGGTTGGGTGAATTCCAACCTGCTAATGTCATCTTCTGGCACTATCTCTTTATTCATTTTGGATTGTTCCATCATAGGGTTTTCAAGGTAAGAATAGTCAGAAGTGGTTTATCTTCGCCTTCTACTGTGCAGTGCTAACCAGGGTTAGCTTGAGCTTCATTGTGCAAGATCCTCCTCCAGTGTCACCTTCAGCTACTGCTGCTGCCCAGTAGCTGCCCTTCAGGAATTTCTCCATCCCATCAGCACTGGGGAGATCCATTCCCTTCTCCTTACTCCTGAAGAGGGTAGACGCATCTCAGTCTGGTGTCTCAGCTTTGACCATTGTGCCTTGGGTGACCCTGCTGGGAGAGCAGGCTAGTGAGAGAGTCTGGCCTCCTCTTGGCTTTTCTGACATTCTCAATCCCTCTCATTACATCAAGGTATGGATTGAATAAGGGTACTCCATAAACTAGGTAGCCCTCCCCCCAAAAAAAAATCTTTTCCAGACAGACATCACCTGACTTCAGCAGAAGAGACTCACTAATGCTCACATGCAAAGCCCTGTCAGGCTCATATGAAAGTATGTTGTCCTTGTCCCTAAGCTGTACAATAGCTTAAAAGCAGCAGAAATACATAAGAAACCATTGAAGATGTTTTAGAAATGGCAGGCTATAATATCTTTTCCACTGAGGAGACAGCCTGCTAGATTTAAGCAAACTGACATTTCAGGCAGGATCGCAAATGTGGCTTATTGCAATAGCTAACCCTGAACGTTTTTGAGGGAATGGGTGTCAGTCATCAAGCTAGCTTTGTCTAGACATTTTGCAATTGGTGTACTATCCTAAGCTTGTGGAAATAACTTGGTGCTACTAATGGCCTTGGGGCATCTGGAGATAGATCTTTCAGCATGCCCACTGACCTTAAGGATAAATAAATAACATAAATAAAAATAAATGAAATGAATAAAATGATGTACTATTCAATACCAAATGCTATTAAGCCACTCTGAATTCTTATAAGTATTTGCAATTGCTGTCTATTTCATTTCTACACTGCCCCACCGCCAAAGCAATCTGGACAGTGTACTTAGTCCATAAGAATAGATGATAAAAATACAATAAAATATTTATACCATTACTATACCGTTTTCTTCTTTTGCTTTTTGTTTATGACAGTTTCAAAGACAGCTTGGAGAAACCAACCTCGTCTTATTCCGACTGGCTAGTAAACAATAGTATTGCTGAACTCGTAGCTTCTACAGGCCTCCCAGTGAACATCAGTGATGCATATCAAGATCCTCGCTTTGATGCTGAAGTAAGACACCTTCTACCTATATACATACATAGCTGTGCATTGTTTTGACACTCAGTATCATAAGGACTTCGACTGGATTTTGTAACTTAGGTTGTGATTCTGATTATGTTTAATAAGTGTGCTGTTGACTGGAATCTCGTTTTACCAATGAATCAGATACTTGGCAGAAAATAAACAGAACAGAACTGCTTTCTGCACTAACTTTACTCTATTGTGTCATTGGCACAGTAATAGCTATAAGCTACAACCAAATAAATGGCTCGGTAATTCAAATCAATGGTCATGTTTGAATATCATGACAACCCACTCTGAGAATACGCCATGAAGTGCAGGTTGTTGGAAGGACAAACTACAATACACCTAACAGACGAATGGGCTCACCATTCATCTTGGTTGTCCTTCCCTCTCTGTCCTTTCATGGAACTCAGTGGCAAGACCTGTCTTGTCTCTTCTTCCTGCTGGGATAGCAACCCGTTTTGAGGTTGCTACAACTCCCCTGCACACACATTCCCCTCTTTTTTGCCCCCAGGATACTGCTATTTACTATCTTCGAAGTGATAGCTACCTACAAAATACCAAAGTAGCTTATGGAACAATAGTCACTGGTTTGCCCCTCATTCTTTACATTGATTTATTTATGTGTTCAAGATTTCTGCAAATGTTTTTGTTACTTAATAAAAAAAGCCTGATTGAAAAACTCAAATTGCATAACTCAAATTCAGAGCCTTGACTTGTCAGTGCCCTGGATGGAATTTCTGTCGAATTACAGGAGGCAACATCAATGGACATTGACAAAGCATGGCTACAAATAGGTTACTTTGTTTCTTTGCTTTTCATTTGACAGCTGTCACATGGAGAGCTGTCACGTGAGAAGTGAAACCATGAGGGGATCCTTGCTGGCAAAATGGGATGGTTTGTACATCATCCTCTTCTCTGCAGGATACTCTAACATTTTTGTTTGAACCTGACTATTATCAAGTGTATAGTTCCCTGTGGTACAGAGAGAACATGGGGAGCCCTATCAAACTCCTCCTCTTTTAAAAGGAGCTGGAGTTTTTACAGCTAACTGTCAGTGTCTGTAAAAAGAGGGGTGGCTTGTACTAGTCCACCTTCCTGAGTACCTGAAGTCTTGGGAAAGGGTGGAAAAATGGGAGAGCCCTCAGAAGAGCCTGGACCCAAAACAAGCAAACAGCCCCTTGAAGATCTTGCTACAAAGGGGATGATCTTCCAGCTACCCCATTTTTGTGAGCAAAGATAAAACGTGTCAATTTCTATGAGGAGTTCCTGCTGAACTTTCACGGCAGGCCCCCCTCTACCTTGCCCAAGTGAGCCATGCCATGTTAGACCTCTGAAAGGGCACAAGTATGCGCTTGTGCAAGGTCAACTAAATAAACTTTTTAAAATTGTACCCATTTGGGCATCAATCTTTTTTTTTTTAATGGGAGTGAAGAATCTGTGTGACAGACTCTTCAGAGTGCCAGTTGATTACTTTGACGGAGCTGTCACTGGCTGTCAAGTCAGAGATTATTCTTTATCAAATTAAAAATTTGGGCTCAAAATGGGTAAGAGTATTTGCAGGTGAAAGGGGGCTTGCTCTCAGAGTGCAGGGCACAGAGCCAGTGCCATTTGCTCCCCCTTGCTGTTTGGGCATTGGCGGGGCAGCTGGTAGTGCTGGTGGCCTGTGTGAGCACAGCAAGAGCAGAAAGGGTATCTTGCCACTCTTCCAAGTGACTCATGGGTAGAGCAATCCCTGGCACTAGCTATAGGTTGTCAAGGTAGCATGGAGTAAGTAGGATATAAATAATTTTGATAAAATAAATAAACAAGGCACTCTGTGGGAAGTGATCTGGGTTCACATGACATGCACACCCACATTCATCCCAAATTTCACTTCATGCAACCCTAGTCAATCAAAAAAAAATATGTATATGTGTATATTTAAGGCCTCAAACCAGTTTACAGGAAAATTGCTAGATTTAATTTATTCCACTTTCCCAAAATACAGTTAATGCCTGGCAATGTTTCTTGTCAAAGGATATGCAGAAATACATGATAATAACAAATACAACATGTTTGTATTTTAATATCCTGTGTCTTGATTAATACACAGTGCAGCTAATACTTATTTGTTTTACAGTTAGAGTTTGAATCAATAAAAAATGTTGCCTTAACTTAAATGGGGAAAGAATTATTTGAATCATGAGATAATAATTATCTTTTGAGCCTATTAATCACCAAAGACAAATTTTAGGAAGAATGATTATCAGAGCAAAATCACTATGAATGAAAAAATACTTTATGAATAAAGTACATTGTGGTATTTGCCAGGAGCTTGTATCTTTCTCTGCTTTTCTTACACAATGTTCAAATTGCAAATGAAAGTTTTATATGCCACTTTTGAAACCTCTTTATTTCAGTTATTTTTATTCATTCATTCATTGCATGTATTAGCCACTCTAAACATCTTGTTTTTATGTTCCTAGGCTGAGCAGATTTCTGGCTTTCATATAAGGTCTGTCCTCTGTGTACCTATATGGAACAGCAGTCACCAAATAATTGGTAAGATACCAAAGAAAGATATACATTAAGGTGCTTTAAAAATATTGCTGTATTCTTTTTATAGTTGAGTATAAAATAATAGTAGTAAGTGATTGCTGGTGAGATGTGGTATTCCAGTACTTCTGAAAACTAAACTTCAACATTTTTCATTCCAATTTAAAATGACCTAGTCAGTATGGACCTAGAAATCCCAGAGAGACGGAATTAGGACAAACCTACTAACAAGATCTTTATGGTTTAGGTACCATATGCATGATTATTATTATTGGTAGTAGTGATAGTAGCAGCAGTAGTTCTAGTGTAGTAAAAGTAAACTAAGTGGTACATACACAATTAGAGAGAGAAGTCTACTTAAATCAAAGTACCCACACAGCATACAAGGGAAAAACAAGGAGGCCAGAAAGAAAGATGAGATTAGAAAACACTGCATGGGCATGTTTTTTTATCTTTCTACTTGCTTTTTTACAATGCTGGTCAAAATGATATCTTAACCTTAGTCTGTAAGATACTGAAAGATAGACAATGGCCAGGTTTGCACATCATGAGAAACCATGGCAAATTCTTACTCTTGTTTGTCTGCCATGTTGTCCAGGCCCCTTCGGAGCATTTCTGTGTGGCACTTGTAGTTCTGCATGTGGTTTGGTTTCCTGAAATCACAGGGAAATCAGTAGTCTGTTCTGAGGTTTCTATGCTTCACTGTGGCTTCTCCACCCATCAGGACCCAGGATCTCCATTTTACCATTGTTGGTGTGGAAACACTATAGAGTCCCATGGGAAGAGCAGTCATGGAAGTGGCTGCTCAGCTATCCATTCTTTACTACTATGAGGTCCTTACCAACACACATACGACCACCTGCTTTATTCTATTGGTTGAGCAATGTGTCCATCTCCCTGTTTACCTTCAGAAATACAGGGAGGGAGAAGGGGAAGTTTTAGCAGAAGTGTTTACTGTGATTTAATAAAAATTCCTTTGGGGTGGGAGGAGCTAGGAAGTGTTGCAGAAATGCAGGTGCACTTGGAAAGGGGAAGCAGGAGAACCTGCCTAAAAAGCTTAGCAGACTAATCAGGATGAGGCTGCTTAAGCCCATAGGGAACAAGAGACTAAGGAAAAAGAAATTGTTTGTGGGGCTCCTATAATGAGAACAGGACAATGGAGTGGGGAGCGTGGCAACTCTGTAACCCAGGGAACCATGCGATGGTCTGACTAGTAAGTTTGGGCAAAAATCCATGCACCATGGAAGCAGCACAGCGTTGCTTGCCATGACATGTCAAACCAGCCAATATAGAAGTATAATGCGCTTTCCCTTAGTTGCTTTTTCGTAGGACATAGGATTCAGGACAGCCAGGCTGACAAAATAATTATGGGCGCAATCCTATCCATGTTACACAGCAAAAAGTGTTACAACTTGCAGGACTTTTTTCCTGCCTAAACATGCACAAAAGTGCACCCTTAGTCAATATGTTCAAGCATAAACCAGAATTTGCCCTATTTGGTATGAACACTTTTGATAAATTTGCTATTAACTAATAAAAATTGAGGTGGTTTTGGTTTTTAATCATGGTTTGTATTTTATGAATTATGGATTATGTTCTATGACATTTCTTCATTTTCTTTACTTATTCTATGTAAATATTTGTGTAGATACGTTGACATTTGAAATTGTAAATAAACATGATTTTGTAATTAGTAAATAAAATTGACTGTGTTTGCAAACTCTTTCTGAAGGGGTAGCTCAAGTATTAAATAGGCTTGATGGGAAACCTTTTGATGATGCTGATCAGCGACTCTTTGAGGTAAGAAACATTAACTCTGCAGCAGGGACCTGTGTAAATGCATCACAAATTATGGTCTTAATACACCATAAGCACTATTCAGTCTCACTGAGTCAGCTTGAAGTACACATTTGTTTAAGGTTTCAGTCCTGGGCATATCTACCTGAGAGTAAGCAACACTGGACACATTTATAAATTGTTATAAATAATAATAAAATAATTATTTTATTATTTCTGAATAAAAATGCAAAGGTTCAGATGGCAACTCTCCTATTCATACCAAAGGGAATTGCTGAACTTAGGTTGAAACATGGCCTGTCTACTTCCGTATGCTGAGTCTCCCTTATGTTTGTATTATATGCAAAAATACATCTACAGTCAGGTCTTACATTTACTCAGAAATAAATGCAAGTAAATATATTGGAACAGACTTGCTAGTAAGTTAGCTTAGGATTGCCATCATATTGAATCTTGGATTCATCAGCTATTAATGGCAGATTTGAGGGATCCCTGTCCATTGTATTCCTTTTCCATTGTCCAAGGCACTGATAATCAAAGGGCTGGTAGAATAAGCTAAAATGATTAAAATGAAAGTTCCAGGTTGCAGCTCTGATGAGCATCTCTGTCAGAATTAAACTCAGGGGTCCTCAAACTTTTTCAACAGGGGACCAATTGAAAGGTGCCGGTGATGGGTGCGGGCTGCCAAGGCGGTGTGGGAGGGGGGCACAGGCCGGTGCAGGGTGGGGGGCGGGCGGGCGTGAGGCGGGGCTGTGCGGAGATAGTTTTCTCCGAGCGAGTCCAAAAGAATCTCCGCATGAGCAAGCTGCTGCCTCGCTGCGCACGCGTGGCAAGTCCAAAACCTCTATGGCAGGTCAGATAAATGGGCATAATGGGCCAGATCCGGCCTGCGGGCCGTAGTTTGAGGACCCATGATTAAACTTGTAGGAAGTATGTAGTTTCCAACCTTGTTAGCTTCAGTCCCCATATCCCTGGAGTGGAATTCCTGGCAACTTCTCCTAATTTCTTTTTCTGCCTGTGAGTCTCCATGACTTCTGAAAATGCAACAGAAGGTGGAGTGCAAGGGCAGTGCTAGGAACATAAAAGATCCCAGACTCTGGCCCATTTGTTATGGGCCATCAAGGCACCTCTGACTTAGGACAACCCTATGAAAGAATGTGCTCCAAAGTGTCCTGCCCTTGACAGCCCTGCTCAGCCCTTGTAAGCTCAAGGCTGTGGCTTCCTCTATGGACTCAAATCTATCTCAGGGTCAGTCTTCCTTCTCTTCTGCCTTTGACTTTCTGTAACATTGTCTTGTCTTTCTTATGATGTGCCTGAAGTACAACAGTATCGATTTTTTTCATTTTCACTTCCAGCTCAGGTCCATGGGACAAAAATGCATAAGGTGCATATGCAAATATGCATAATTACAAATATTAGTATAATTCACATTTTATAGAAGGAGAAGACAATAACACTGAACTAGATGGAGTGGTGGTCTGACTTGACTACCATTTTGAAATGCAAAATTCCATGGTTCAGTTTGGTCACATTTGGGATATGCTAACTGGCTATAATTTCTGAGTGGAAAACACTTTCTAACAGATCATTTACAATTTTGCTTATATTAAACTGTATTTTTACTGCACTTTAGCACCACTTAATAAGACTGACTGGCTGGAGCCAGAGTCAATACAACACAGTGCCCCTACAAACCCAAAAGCCATGCAATCTAGAAAGACACTATGGTCAATAGTATTCAAAGCTGCTGAGAGGTTCAGGAGAATTAAAAGACCATACAGCCTGTCTATTCCTCAGTGTAGGTCAACCATCAGAGCAACCAAGGCCATTTTTGCCCCCAAACCAGGCCTGAAGATGGATTCACATGGATCCAAATAATCAGCATCCTTGGATTTGGGAGGCTTCCACCTGTTGTTCCACTGCTCAGAAGTAGAAAGTTAGACACTGGAACAATTTAATTTTAGAATTCAGTTTGATTTTTTTTAGCAAGGGCTTAACTGCCACTGTCTGACAGTAGCTACCATTCCTTCTCTTAAATTGGCATGAATTCTGGCAAACTCTCAACCCAGACTTTAAGAACCATAATGTGCAAGGATCTTGAATACAGGCTGCAGGCCTCAGTATTCAGAGAATCCTATCCATGTGGTTAGGTGGCACATGATGAGAAGTACCTACAAGCAGGAGAAGTACCCTGGCAGCATCCATCCCTGACTCTGTTAGAATGGAGGTATCCATATTGCATTTTGAGGATAAAAGCACTCCTATCCCTGCCAAAGACAGCTGGGCACAGCAAACTTTTAGGGGGTCTTCCTTCTGGGCTCGAGGGTGTAGGCAGGCCCCTTGCCATTTGAAATGGTTCTGCTGACCAGCTTTTTGCAGATACAGCAAAAAATAATTTCTGCCATCATTTCCGCAGAGTAGGCCAGATAATTGACACTTACTTGTGTTCAGTTGTATTTGCTTCACATTTTCTGTGCTTAGACTGCAATCATCAACCCAGTTGTTTCAGCTCCTCAGGACAGCAAGGACCCAACTTGGCTGTACAGTTAGATGAACTTGAGGGTCATTCCAAGCAGTAACCAAAGCTGGCAGAGCAGAGCACCCAGCTAAAGTAGCAAGAAACTGCATTTGGGAGGTCAGAAAGCCATCTGGATTCAGCAGTCTCTGTAGGAAAGTGCATACAAACTTGTTTCCAATCTTTGCAGAGGTTACAGGTAACCCAAAAGTCCTTCTAAGGCATATAGTAGCATAAGAAATATCATTGCATTGCAGACATTCCCAGTCATGTTATAGCTTCAGTATACATGAAAAGTATATCCTTTAGGTTTTGAACTTTTCCAGTATCTCTCACAGTAACAATTATACCTCTTCCTAGATGTAATGCAGTAAAGTAGCAGCAGTAAAAGATCTTGTAATGGCTCTCCTTCATGCGGGTTTATGCAGGGAGAGGCTGCAGGACCTGTTTCAAATATGAAGTTCAAAACAGAATCTGGAACACCAGTTCCAAACATGCAATTCCATTTGGTTTTTAAATTACTGTTTTCATTTTTTCCTCGTAACTTTAAGTGTAACACATTTGAAACAAGAGTCCTTTCATATTCTTCCTGTCAAACAGTTATTCAAATGAAGACATTTTCATTTCTGTCTTTCATAATCTAGTATCATGTACAAAAAAACCTTTACACTTGATAAATGCTGAAACTAAGACAGAGGATTACCTACAAACATAGCTGTAATTTGAGACTAACTCATAGAGTTCTCATCAGATAGGTTAACTCTTTAAAACTTGTAATATATGGATTCTAACGAGAATTAAAATAACTATTGCAGGTTATCTCTTATTTACAGACTCCTGCAAGGTTAGAGTACTTGCTTGCTAACTTCCAAGAGAACAAGCCTTTAAAAAAATTGGGGGAAAGGGGTAAAGTAGAGGCAAAATTACTAGTTAATTCCAAGATATTCCAAGCTTAAAGGCTATATTTGTTGATCATTCAGTTGGTTGATTAGCCACTTTAAATTAGACACAACTCCTTGGGCAAGATGAAATTGGGAAACATACATTTATTCATGGCAAGTGAAACATGCTTACCATATTGTCTACAGGTGGCAATCCACTCCAGTATATGTCTGTTAGGTATGAGATCCATGGCTTTGTAGTAACAGCTGCTGCATAGGTAAACTTGTTTATTTTGTGGTACTGCATTATGGTTGTGCATGCTGCTGTAACTGTTTCAACTGATGGTAGCTATAGTGGTCTTTTAGGTTGGTAGGAAGTCCCGGGCAGCCGCATAATACCAGCAAAATTCTATGGTATCATGTGCATTTCATGATCACTGCATCGCCTTTTAGCACTTACTGGTTAGCATTTATTAGTTCCCAAATGATCAGGGCTTTAAAGACTCTTTTAAGACATGAACTAGTAAAACAAGTAGAAGTTGATCTCTCTTAAGTGGTTAAATAATAATGTTAAATTGTTGTTATTTTTTAGGCTTTTGTTATATTTTGTGGCTTGGGCATCAACAATACTATAATGTATGACCAAGTGAATAAATCGTGGGCAAAGCAATCAGTGGCTCTTGATGTGAGTATCATAGGAAATTGGCTATTGTTTGTTAAAAGCTTGTCATTATGTGGCCCCTGGGGAAGAAGGAAGCTCAGTGTCACCCACCTTCCTGCCATAGAAATAAGATGCCTCTTTGTCTGCTTCAGTGTATTGCGTGACCCCATGTCCTCCAAATCATAACACAGAAAAGTTAGTTTTGTTTTGCTTTTTATCATTTTATTATTTCATATTGGATCTTTAAAAATCTATTGGTCGGTATTGCTGATAAATTTTTCAAAGCATGAATGTCTGTTGCTGTTAAACCCTGTCAACTCAGATTTGTAGCATAATTGCAGTCTTTGTAAATAACAAGAAGACTTAGAAACCTTGACAGTCAACAGAAACCAAGGGAAAACCATGTGTTTCGCTGGGAATATTTTGAAAGGTTTGATCTGATCTGTAGTGGAGGCTAATGGCTCCAGTGTAAGTGCAGCTGCTCTGGGTTGTACTCCAAATTTTTAAGGACCTATCTGTGTGCTGAACCCCTTTAAGGAATAGGATTCAGAACCATGCATAGTTCCTTTAGCATTCAGACTAAGATAATGGATAACACTACCCACAGATATTGAAGCCACAAGCCTCCTTGCTGATCATCTGGCAAGACAGGCATGCTAGTTCTCTCTTCGGAATTGGCTCGCCTGTTCAGCCAGCTGATCAGTTGTAATAAAGAATTCTGAGACATCTCCAGCTGCATGCAGCCCTCTCCCCCACCTGCACCCTGGCTCTCTATAATCACAGCCAAAGTATGTTTAAGGCTCATCAGAATAAGGGCTCTTGCACCAAAAAATGGTTACTATTTCTGCAAAGGAAAATATAATTGCTTGGTTGTAAGATACTACATTCTCGGAACATAAACAAAGATTGATCATGCTGTTAGGTGAATGTTATTATAATTATGATGAAAGACCAACTCACTTTAGATTTTTTAAAAAAATGAGTAGGAAGACTAAAACATAGAAGAATGCTGATGAAAATGTGAGAAAAGAATAAGGGCTAGCTCATATTTTGAACAGTGATTTGCAAGAAAATTTGTGTGTGCTATTTTTCTTCTTTTTTGTGGTAAGAGGGGAAGTGGGGCTCCTACGTACATCTTGCCCATGATGAAATCTGTTCATTATTCTGAGGGATTTTAATTAATTAATTTAACTGACAGTATTTATATGTCACCTAAACCAAAGTTTTCTTGGCAGCTGACAGTAACAATAAAATACAACTGTAACCTTAGAATAAAATAGATATAACAAAAATCTGGCTGCTCTAAGAAATAAATTGGTTGAAAAAATAAGACCTTTAAAAGCCTGAGCAAAATAAAAAGATCTTTACCTAGCTCTGGAAAGTCCACAAAGTAGGTAAGCCGTTTGGGGAAGAGCTGAAGGGGCACTTTATAAGCACTGATGTAAGTCATGAACTTGAGGGTTTTTTTATAACCTCATGTTGTTGTTCATGGCTGTATCCAGAATAGTACTCGCTGAAAAAGACAGAAATGCACATTAGATCTAATTCTTTAAAGTAACATGGAAGTATTTCCTTAAAAGATGGATTGAGAAGACAGTCTTATAATTGTCAGCTAATTGAGAATGTAGAAGGGTTTGCTTATGGCAGGGTACAGTCATCAATCCCTGCTAAGTAGGGTTTGCAGGTTTTTGAAAAAAACAAACAACCCTGCAGAATCTCAGAGAAAAGTGGGACAAAGGAAAGATGTACGAGGTTGACCATGGGCAGAAGTGCATCTCTGAAACAGTTTGAGGATCTCAATTACTATTGTTTTCCTCCAGTCTGTCTGAAGTGTGAAGTTTTCACTGTCTAATATAATGTGGCAAATGGTTTAGAAATGTGCAGTTTCACAAGTTAGGACTTGGAATTGAAGTGCTCTGTGTGAAGTTAGGGAGCTGTTCTCCTCTGCTATACCAAATTCTCTTTTCTATAACTTGGAATCAATGGCAATTCTCAAGCTTTCAGGCTACTTTTAATTTTATTTGCTGTAAGTATAGACTGCCTTTTAGCCCTAAAGGTCCTACCCAAATAGTTTCCTGTTAGAAGTAATTAAAACAATTAAAATGCTTTAAAAATCTAAAGATTTAGTAGGAAAAATAAATGACAGGATGCTCAAAACAGAGCATTTGAATTAAAAATACAACTACTTAAACTGAATGTTGAAAAGGTCGTCCTCTGACCACTGATAAGACAATTCTAAGCATAAAACTAAATTCACTGAGTTCAATAGCATTTGCCCCTAACAAAGTGTGTAGAGGACTGCATTGTTAAACTATGTTTCCCCCCCCCCTTTTTTTAAATAAAGGGCATACGGGTCTTGAATATGCACTTTCTGTATCTGAGGCATAGCATTTATATGGTATTTTTGGAATATTTCTAAAGTAGTATATTTAATGGACATGTATAGGTGGATAGAAAAGTAAACCTATTGATTGTGGCACATCCAGAAACCATACTGATGAAAAATTATTTTTTCCTTATGTTTCTTTCTCCCAGAAGATCCACCTTAGATCAAAACTATTGTCTGCAATATTACAATATTAACTACATATGATTTCCTATAACATGATTTAGGTAAATGCTAGAAGTGTAACTGATAATTTGTGATGAGTTATATTTCATGTATAATATATGATGCACTGATATTAATAAAACATTTTAATGGGCATTTCATCAATGGCTTTTCAAAGTGACTTAAAGAAATTTCCTCCCCCACCCCAATTTGTTCTGGGCCAGGTGCTGTCTTACCACGCAACATGCTCAAAGGCAGAAGTTGAGAAATTTAAGGTAACAATTTGTGTGTGGTATGTCTGTGTGTGTACATATGGATGTAAAGAGGATTTTTACAATTCAAAAAGGGAACAAAAATGAGGATTATAGAAGAAGTTTAATATCCTATGGCACTATCAACCTGTTTCAGGAACAGCTCTAAAGTTGTCTGTGACAACTTGCAGCCTATAATAAAATTTTTGCTTTTGTATTTCTTTGACATGTTTGAAATCACATGGTTAATTTTGCCAGGATTCTCTGTACTTTACATTTAGAACTCTATATTACTGTTCTCCTAACTAGATGTTTACTTACTTAGTCACCCTCCCTTTCACCCCATCTACCTCTTGCCCCCTGCTTCCACCTTAGTAACCAGTTAACTATCATCACAAATTATTTACAGAAGTGCTTAATATGCTAAGAGCTAAGTAAAATGGTAAGTAATATGCTAAGTAAAAATTACATGTTCCTGTTTATATAGGACATGAAGTGTAATTGAAAAGAAGTGGGAAACTTTCCACTACTGTGAGAAAGTTAAAGAAGGTAAATGAAATAAAAAAATACATTAATAGAAGCAGGGGAAAAAACAAAAAGTCAAGTAGGAAGGAACCCCAACAGACAAGCACAGAGACCAGAAACCACACAAGGGGGGGAGTTTAATAAGATTAATGTTTGATGAAAGACTATTATCAACTTGAAATAACAACCACCCCCACCTGCCAACTTACTCTACATTCAGTCTTTCCTTCAAAATCTGCATTTTCCAATGTTTCAGTTCCAGAGATCCCAAACATTATTGGGTGAAAGGTAAATTCTTCTCCCACCTTCACAGACTAAAAACAAATTACAATTTAAAAAACAAGCCAAGGGTCAAAAATAGGAAGCTAGCCAGAGGTATAGGTACATTGAGGCAGGATGCAGGCTCCGCAACAAACAGAGAGACCAGTGTTGCTAAGGCAACATGGCAAAGCAGGGTACATAGCAAGGGTCAGGCAAGGTACAGGAACTGAAGCACAGCTAGCAAGAGAACCTGCATTGCTGAGGCAACACAGCAAGGAATGATGCACAGCACGGCAAGGTGGGACTTGCTTGGAAAGGATACAGCATGCCAGGACAGAGGCCAGGGACGAAGCGGGCACACCAGCAAATAGAGGGACCTATATTACTGAGGCCAGTAGTAGAAGGAAGAGTTTGCTCTTATATAGTTCTTCCCCTAGGACTCCCGGTGGGCGTTTATCGGGAGGCTGAGGGTGCCAGCAGGACCTGGGCCTGACCTGTCCTGCAAAGATAGTGGTAGTTGTTCTGGTTCTGGCCACCAGAGCAGCCCAGATCCTGACAGAAAGAAGGGAAGGAAGGGGAAAAAAACAGGCACCGATTCTTAAAGATAGATAGTACTTCTTATAATCACCAGCAGGAGAAAGGAGTAACCTGATCCTGCAGCAGAGCTGATAGCATGATTCTGCTTCCTTTCTCTGCTGCAGCCTACTATAGAATGCCTGTAGGCAATGGTATTTATGTACCTATGCAGCGGAGTGGAGCTAACTGTTCTTACTTTGTAGAATGTTTGGAAATGTGTTACTTTCAGCTAAACAACAACAAGAACTCTGAAAGCAATTTAGAAATACTAAATGTAATGTAAGTAGTGATCTATCCTGCCAGCAAAAGGAAGACATGGATGTGTGGCCTCCTTGGACTGAGTTCAAAAGGTGAGCACCATAACAGAAAAGACCTTGCCCTAAGTCCCCAAAAAGCTCCTTTCTTACCCTGGGGACTACATAGCAAGGCCTCATCTCTGAGAAAGGCAGAGCAGAATGTATTTCTATAGTGTGCAATATGTATTGAACTGTTCCTTGAAGACATGCACTAGAATGCTGGACAGGACAAGTACACAACTTACAAAATAATAGTGACTGGAGGAAAATTAGGGAAATAATGTTGTAGGGGTTTTTTAAATACATACAGTATAGGTTATATCAGCTATTACAATGAATACAGTTTCCTGTATTTGACAAATGTTTGGAATTGCCCTGATCCGTGCCAGTTCAGATGAATCCAATTCCCATTTGATCTTGAAAACAGCTTTTAAAAATTCTGGACTTTCAATGTGGTCTGGGAAAATAGGAGAGAAACTAGTGATGCACCTTGTTGCTCCAAGCACCAAAAGACCTGCCAGAACTATGCTGGCTGGGCACGTATAATGCAGTATGAGAAAGAACTTTGGCTAGGGCTGTAACAACTTTTTCTCTGCAGCAGTTAAGCTTTCTGGGGTGATGATAGTTATCTATTCCAGATATCACCTTCCCAGGTAAACAACGGTGAGTTAATTGTACAAATTCAGGACGTTTAACAGTACTTTGGTGTGCAGTGTCTTAATTAACAAGCTGCAGTGCTAACTATTGTTTGTTGTGGTGTCTGAAGTGATAAACTGTAGTGATGGCTATTGCTTTGCATCTGGCAACCATGGCATCCAGATGTTGGCGTACTGAACCAGCATAAACTGAAAGCAGACTGTGGGAAGGAAGGTGAAATCCGTTCTTCCAATGGTTCTCTCCTGTTGGCAGACCAACACCATTGGACAGAACCTTGAGGTATCTTGAGATTTTGTTGTGCAAGACTTTTTGAAAGAGATTGCATAATGTTGTTCACAAAGAAGCACAATTCTCATTTCTCATACAAAGATCTTACACTAGGTCAGAAAAAGACCTCCCTGCAAAGCAGTCTTCCACTTGCTGATGCACCCTTCTGGATCCAATCCATTACAGTTATATTAAGTATTACTTACATGGCTCTTTAGGGATTGTAAGGCACAATGAGCAGTGCTGGACACTGCAGGACTCATATAAATCGGGACACATTCAGAAAACAGCAGAGGTGATCAGTGAAATAGAAACAGCTCTGTGAGGAAAGGTTGAAAGAACTGGCTATGTTTAGCCTTGAGAAAAGAAGACCAAGGGAGAATTGGATAGCTCTAGTCAAGTATTTAAAGGGTTGTAACTCAGAAGAGGGCCACCTCCTGTTCTCTGTCATCCAAGATTATAGGTTGGGAACAAAGGGCTTAAAGTTACAGGTAGGCAGATTTCGGTTGGACATCAAGAGAACCATCCTTGTGGTAAGACTGGTCAAATGATAGAACCAACTGCCCAGGGTGCTGGTGGGTTTTCCGTTGCTGGAGGTATTCAAGCAGAATCGGAACAGCCTACCATTGGGGGTTGAACTCAGTGGCCTAGATCACCCCTTACAATTCTCTGGTCCCGACCTACTGCAGAACAAAATTTAAAATGCCTAGGACTTAGTTGAAATGAGGTCCCCTTTTGCAAGATAATGCTTTGTGTTCATTCTCTTTGATAATGTTTGGAAGGCACACAGACAGGGGTAACAATGTTAACCACCTTTAAAGTGATACTGGAATTTCAGAAGAGATCATCTGCAATGTTGTGTGCTGTGCCTTTGCGGTTTCAATTGCCTCTTTAAATCAGGGAAACTTTTTTAAAGTTTTGGTATTCTGGATTATCTGCTGTAGACACTTTAAAAGAGACAAGACACAACACAATTCTTGGGGAGCAATTGCAATTTTTCAGGGAACATAATTTTTTCCTTCTGGAAGGTGATATTTTTTCAGAGAAAATTCTGGATGTCCCTGTCCTCAGAAAGTCACATTTCACTGCCAAAAAGTTAAATCCGCACAAATTTAGGGAAACCCTACATTCCACAGTGAGCACAGTCAGAATCAGGGTCAGTACCAGACTTCAGGATGCTCTTGGGCATGTTGTTCCCAGCCCCCCCCCGCCACTTGCTCTTGTCCGCCATCCTTCCCCACTCTCTCCTCTTGCCAGTACCCACTGTTCCCTCTCTGCCAACCCACCCTCTTTACTTGCTGTCATTGCCCCCCCCTTTGCCACTCCCACTCCCTCTTCTTGTTGCCATCCACTCTCCAGTACTTGGCTCCGAGGAGTCCCTTCCTCAGATCCAGGCATTGTGGAGCCTGAAGATATGCTCCGGAAGATGACCTACACTGTGGACAATCTCCCAGGACGCCTCTCCCCTGAAGCAGCCATTCCACCTCTGTTAGCTTGGGACGGCTGCTCTGGAGGACAAGCAACACTGCTAAGGAAAGGAGGTGCAGGAGATTGCCTGCCCAGCACACAAGAAATCTCTGGGGACACCTCTTCAGACTCCACTATGCCTGGCTCTGAGGAAAGACTCCCTTGAAGTGGATGCATTTGCAATGTGGTGCTCAAGGAGAGCTTTGCGAATACCTCGGAGTGACAGAAGTGGGTCCTAGATCAAATCAAGCCAGAACTTCCCTGGAAGCAAAATCAATGAAGCTGAGGCTTTTGTACTTTGACACATCCTGAGAAGGCAAGACTCACTGGAGAAGACTACTAGGAACAGTCAATGGGTGAAGAAGATGCGGAAAACCAACTGCGAAATGGATGGATTACTTAAAGGAAGCCACACGCTTGAGTTTTCAAACAGAGCTGTCCAGAACAGGACCATTTGGCGGGTATTTATTCGTAGGGTCACCATAAGCTGTAGATGACAGCACATAACAACAACAAAGCAGGCTTTCCTCTCCAGACCTGCCTCAGCAGTTCTACTGTAATGATTGTTCAACACGTAAGTGCCTTTAATTTTCTAAGCTTTGTACGGATACTGAAAGAGAAGACATGTGCAGGCTCACGATACAAAAAGAAAAGGAGGGAAGGGGAGCAGCAGCCTCCCTTGTTAGGGTTGCTCTCTGGTCCGACAGGTGTTATTTTCCTTATTCTGTGTATGTGTGACCAACAACTGATATCTTTGGTGGAGGGATTGTAAGAGGACCACCTTCCCAACCAGCCCCTGTGGTTGAACTGTGGAGGTTCTACATATAGTCCTAATTGGACTGAGATTCCTGTATGTCAGATATATGTAATCTTAGCCTATAGGACGTACTGTGTGGGAATAGTGAATATTGTAGTCCAACATTTCTGGACGGTGCCAGATTGGAGATTGAAATAGACCACTGATGGTAGAACAAC